CTTTTCCCTGACAGCAACTTCTGTCTTGGCTCTTCACATCCAGCCAGAGCAGTTGCTTTGCCTCCGCAACCTGCAGGCTGTCCTCTCGTGTGTACCTGTGCTGGACTGAGGGCAATGCTTGTAACGCACACAGATGCTGTATTCACTAGGACTTTTAGAAAAGAGAGCAAGAAGCTAACCTGCGCAGCAGTTTCTTAGGTTTCTGCATATCTATCTCTCTATCTGTCTCTCTGCGTATATATTTCATTACTTCTTTACTTGTTTAAAGATCCTTTAAATACAGTAGATACTTTAAGAAAGCTTACTTGTTCTTCTCCTTTACTTGTTTTTAACGTTTACTTTTCTAACCGATCCTTAATGTTACAACATTGGATTTCTTTAGTTTCTCAGTCCTTAGAAGTTCTCAAAGCACATCAGTGATTTCTCTATTTCTCAATCTTTCCATCTGCATTGAGACCTCTTATCTGAATTTAGGTATTAGGTGAAGAAGAACACTGCAACCAGCTGAAGCCGTATCGGACACATGCTTCTGCTAGGAAGTCATTCCGAGTGATTCCACGGTGTACTTTAGACAGGTTTGCTCTGGACTCAGCATCCCCAAGGGATATTTCAAAGCTCTCGGAAGGACCTGTCGTTATCTCTGACACTGCAGCCTCCATTAGGAACGGGTAAATATTCCTTGCCCTTGTGGGAAGGAACTACTCAGTTAGCTGTTTCTAACCCAAATCTCTTTGTTGTCTTCTATAGACAGACACCACCCGGCTAGCCAAGCTAAACCTTTGAAAATGGAAGGAGTGGGACTACTTCCAAAGCCTGCTGCTGCTTCTAAGCAGAACTGCGATGTAGGTGGGGACACAGCAAGAGGACACGTCCAGGCCAGGGTGGAACTGCAAGGCACCTGTCTGAGCCACACAACGAAGTCAGCGATTCCCAGTTGGAGACTGTTGCTCAACTAGTGACAAAGCAGCTGGAGCGCTTCTGGTTGCTGCTGATGGGTTCCAGTGAATCAGCCAGGGATATGAGCTACGAGAACGGCTGAAGCGATCTGAACTTACCTGAAAGAAAGAAGACAAGAGGGGAGGGAAGGGAGGGAAAAAAGGGAAGGGAAGGGAGGGGAGGGGAGGGGTGGGAAGGGAGGGGAAAAAAAAAGGGAAGGGAGGGTAGGAGGAGGGAGGGGAGGGGAGGGGAAGGGAGGGAATAAAAAAAAAGGGAAGGGAGGGGGGAGGGTAGTGTAGTGTGTGTAGTGTAGTGTAGTGTAGTGTAGTGTAGTGTAGTGTAGTGTACTGTAGTGTAGTGTAGCATAGTAGAGGGGAGGGGAGCGTAGGAGAGTATAGGGTAGTGTAGGACAGCGGAGTTTAGGGGAGTGTAGGGGATAGGGGGAGGGGAGCGTTACCGTATAGGGGAGCATAGGGGGGAGGGGAGCATAGGGTATGTAGGGTAGTGTAGCGAAGGGGAGTGTAGGGTAGTATAGGGGAGGGGATTATAGGGGTGTGTAGGGGAGGGGAGTGTAGGGGAGTGTAGGTAGTATAGGGGAGGGGAGGGGGAGTGTAGGGGAGTGTAGGGTGTGTAGGGTAGTATAGAGGAGGGAGTGTAGGGGAAGTGTAGGGTAGTATAGGGGAGGGGAGGGGAGTGTAGGGGTGTGTAGGGTAGTATAGAGGAGGGGAGAGTGTAGGGGAGTGTAGGGTAGTATAGGGGAGGGGAGGGGAGGGGAGGGGTGTGTAGGGTAGTATAGGGGAGGGGAGTGTAGGGGTGTGTAGGGTAGTATAGAGGAGGGGAGTGTAGGTAGTATAGGGGAGGGGAGGGGAGTGTAGGGGAGTGTAGGGTGGTGTAGGGTAGTATAGAGGAGGGGAGTGTAGGGGTGTGTAGGGTAGTATAGGGGAGGGAGTGTAGGGGTGTGTAGGGTAGTATAGGGGAGGGGAGTGTAGGGGTGTGTAGGGTAGTATAGGGGAGGGGAGTGTAGGGGAGTGTAGGGGAGTGTAGGGGAGTGTAGGGTAGTATAGGGTTGTGTAGGGTAGTATCGGGTAGTATAGGGGTGTGTAGGGTAGTATAGGGGAGGGGAAGGGAGGGGAGGGCGGGAGGGGAGGGGAGGGGAGGGGAGGGGAGGGGAGTGTAACAGAGTGTCGGGACAGGGAGCATAGGGGAGGGGAGGGGAGGGAAGGGAAAAGAGCAGATGGGAGGGGTGGGGAGTGCTACCATAAATAAACTTGCCAAATACATGGACATTTTGGATCTGGAGCCAAATCTTTGTGTTGCTGAAGGGACGCAAGACAAAGACTCCTGATGGCTTTTGAACAGGAGGCGTTTATTGCCCTTTTTCACTACTACATGTCCTCTCCCCGTAGCCCCACGTGCTGTCCACGCACCCGAATCTATCATACAGTTGGTCAGAGACCCTCAGACACGCGCCTGGAGCCAGCCAGCAATTGCCCACTGCCCAAAGGTCCTCTTAACACTGTAGCCCAATTCTTTATCCACGCCTCCCTCAAGGTTTTGTTTCTACCACTTGTTTCCTCATTAGCTCTAATTCAGGGACCTGCGAAACAGCGCGAAGCCACCTGAAAAGTCCCTCCCCAGGCGTTGCCATTCCTTCCACAACCTGATTTATCGCTGCCATCCGCGCATTGCACAGTGCCATGAAAGGTTTGGTGTGCACAGAGGTGGCTGAGGATTTTCAGAAAGAACTTGCCTTAAGAACTGCATCAAGACTTTTGCTGGAAGGCAAAAGATCGGGGTGATTGATGAACATAGGGATGGCAGCTGAGCAAGGGAAGCATCTTCCAAACTTCCAAATATTTCCTGGATACAGAACTACAACTCCTCTGCTCTCCGCTTAGGAGTTTCTGTCACCTGCTTAGGAAGCAGAAGCCAGTAACATGGGATTTAGAGGATCCAGCTGAAGCGTCAGTGCCAGTTAGAGGAAACCATCAATGTACGGGGTTTGAAGAGAGTTTGACCGGTTTCCAAGGAACATGTACTAGTGCTGAATATATATGCATATAAATATCTCTACAGCTGGCTTGTATCAGACATAGAGTGGCCATCAGGACTAGGGAAGCGGTTGTCCCTCTGTGCTCGGCTCTGGTGAGGCCGCACCTCGAGCACTGTGTTCAGCGAAGACCTCGAGGTGCTGGAGCGTGTGCGGAGAAGGGCTCTGAAGCTTGTGAAGGGTTTAGAGAACAAGTCTGGTGAGGAGCGGCTGAGGGAGCTGGGCTTGTTCAGCCTGGAGAAAAGGAGGCTCAGGGGAGACCTTCCTGTGCTCTACAGGAAGCTTGCAAGGAGGCTCCAGAGAGGTGGGGATCGTTCTCTTCTCCCAAGCCCCAAGTGACAAGA